CACCATTTTCGTACCAACTTTTTGGAAAAATAAATGAAAAGGGAGTATTCTTTTTTTTTTTTTTTAAAAATTGCAAGCCAACGTTGATCAGGCGACGAGGAGGCGTGGTGAGGGGCGTCCGACAAGATGACGTGTCTTGCAGGCACACTCGGGTTAATTTTACGCAATGCGGGGTGGGGCCCGGTGTTGACGTGGACTCGAAGCGAAATTGCTGGGGGATTAGATATCGGGATCCGATCCCCGTGATTTTCAATTTCATCCCTCTTTCTTTTATATTATTTGGATTAATACCGTTAAAGAAAAAAACTCAAAATTATCCCTATTTTTTTTTTGATAAGGAAATTATCCCTATTTTTTATGTCATTAAAAACCTTAAATTTACCTAACGCAGCCCAACTTATCAAATCATACATGTATAAATTTTGGAGGTACACATAATTTGGGATTTTTTTAATTTTGAGGTATTTGTGTTACGATAGATAAGTTTGAAGTTTGGGTATTTGTAACGAGCATAATTTAATATTTCCTTTGCGGTATTTGCACCTTTTGTTTTCATGGGTCAAATGATGTTACTGTTTCGTGTTCCTCGAAGGCCCACCGATTTGGGAGTCTTATTTACGGAAATGTCCCCACCACCCGCGGCCGATTTCTTTGAAATTCAGTACGTGGGACTTCCCAGCTCGTTCACACCGGTAGTGAGGGAAGTCGCTGTCGACGAGGGAGGGGGATTTGCTTGGAGGAAGGAGCGCGCGTGCGCGACCTGACCAGCTTCCGTGGGAGAATAGCTTTTAGCTTTTCGAACCATTCTATCTTGATTCTCGCGGGTCGGGTTTGGACAAAGCATTGCTCGTGCTGTGTCGTTCGATTGTCGCACCAAAAATCAAAAGATTAGACGGCATCGAGGATCATCAAGCTCGGCACCCTTTCATGGCCCCGACAGAACTGCCGTCTAGGGATCATCTCTTTTTTTGGTTTCTCGAACACGAGCAATTTGCATCGACTTTGATTGTTTTGTTGAGAAGTGCAAGTTAACGGGACTACAGGTTTATCGGAAGTACACTCGAGCGAGGAGGTTCTCTCTTCTCTTGTCGTGGAGAAGGTAATCTATGACATCGATACATTTTTTTTTTTTTGGTTACATGATAATAACATGCAATACAACTGATCAATCAAAAGTAAGATATGGGCGCACGGGGCACTGAGGGAGATGAGATTCATAATACGCGGACGACGACAATTGATCGAATACATTGCGTTATCACCACCACGTGACCCGATGTGTTCGTCCAATTAATATTTACTCCTCGCCATGCATATTTTTTGGACAGAGTTCACGATACATACCTGGAGTAGATCCATCAAACATTTACGCTACAAGTTTTGGCATAATAAACAATTCGGAACTCTTGCCAAACGATTGCTCACGAAAGACTTGTCCACTGTATTTTATGAAGAATGATGCTAGGAATGTTAGAATTGGTATGTTGAATTTGTTAACGAAATTATGCATTAGATTTCTATAAGGGTGCTTAAATCATGCCCCCTAAATCGCGAACCAAGACCCCACGCACACGCCATGAATATCCACCATTGTTTTAAGAATCTATAGTTTTTTCTTAATAAAAGTACTTTCGACCCTCAAACCCTAACATCAGACATGCTTGACCAAAAAAAAAAAAAACATCAGACATGGCAGAGAGGACGAAAATACCCTTATCTAATAAGTAGGCCAAAACAATAACATCACTCCGTCAAATTCAAAACTAAGCACGCGCCGTTAATAACACGTCGTTTAGTCAACTGCCCGGACTACGCTCGCAAATTAAGAAGCAATTTTCTTCCAAGCTGAGTTCCCGACCGAGTGGCTGTTTTGTCAACTGACTCACTCCTAAATACTAATCCACAATCGTCTATCATGCATCTCATGAGTTCCCAATCAAATCTTCTCCGTCGTCATCGTCGTCATCGTTCCTCACCCTAATCGATTGCACTGTTGTCAACAATCTTTGCTCGTAATCCCGTAATCACTTCCGGCGCCTCAGGAAAGAATTCGAGAAGCCTTGAGGATAGATATCAAACCTGGTGCAAATAAGTGACCTGAGGAACGCAACCATGGACCCGAACTATTTCCCACGAAAGCGGCTTTGTCGGAAGCTCTTTCAAGAGGGAAAATTCTCAATTCGACGACCTTGGATGAAAGGAATTTTATCATCCCTCTACTAAAAATAATTAGACTCGGTTACGAGGTCTCGATCTAGGGAATGCCCATTTTCAAGGGACTCAATAAGATGGGAAACTTATGAATCCAATTTGAGACGACTTAAAAGCTCGCTGCTTTTACCAGGTACAAGAGCGATAACTCGTTAACTATATACAGTTAAGTGAATGGACTGTAAATATATCATGTTGAGCAATGTCGTGCATAGTAGTGTTTTTGAAGGTGTGTTGTGATAGGTTACTGATGTTGGGATTGTTTTAAGGCGTAATAAGAAAACAATGTTGACTCTGCTTTCCTGGCAAACACGAGACAATTGTTGGGAAGCCTTTTTGTGCTCCGTCTTTGAAGATTTATATGTCGAGCATTTCTTTTCGAGGAGCACTCAACTCGGGTTGAGGACCTTGTCCCGGGTTTGGCACGTGATTCTTTTAGCGAGAGAGGGGAAGTGTCGCGCACAAGCAATACTAGTGAGCATGATGAAATAAAGAGCATATGAGAGGGGGAGTGGGAAATTTTAGGAGAGTCAGGGCGCGTTTGGTAACGCTTCCATTTCTCTATTTTTCTGTTCTTCTGTTCCCCGGAACAAAAAAAGAACAGAAATCCGTTTGGTAACGCATTTTATTTTTCTATTTCCTGAAATAGAAAAGTGGCCAAGAAATAGATTTGGAACAGAAATAAGAAGTAGAAAAAATCTACTTCTTTGTTCCTAAAAATAGAAATAGAAATAGAAAGGTCCGATCCTCAAGCCGCGACCTCAGCTCCTCCTCCATCCTCCGTCGTCTGCAAACCATCTCAAAGCACCGGTCCGGTCCATTCTCGGCGGAAATAATAAAAAAATTATAAAAAATTAATTAAATAAAAAAATTCAAAAAATTCAGAAAAATTCTCAGAAAATCCATAAAAATTAGAAAAACTCAGAAAACCCATAAAAATTTGCAAAATTTCGAAATTAAAAAAAAATCATAAAAAGCTTTCTGGAAAATAAAAAGAGACAAATTTCGGGAAAGTAAAAAGTTTTAATAAACTTTTCCCAAAAAAAAATAAAAAATAAAAAATTCACATAATGGCTTAGAATAAATTAAAAAATTCCGAAAATTCATAAAAATTAGAAAAATTTCAGAAAAATCCCATAAAAAATTAGAAAATTAAAAAATTCCCAAAATTCATATAAATCAGAAAAATTCTCAGAAAATCCATAAAAATCAGAAAAGCTCAGAAAACCCTTAAATATTTGCAAAATTCCGAAATTGAAAAAATTAAACAAATTTCATAAAAAATTTTCGGAAAAATAAAAAGAAACAGATTTAGGGAAAGTAAAAAATTTTAATAAATTTTACCCCAAAAAATATAAAAAAATTCACATAATGGCTTAGAATACCTGTGGCCACCCACTTTGAGTGAAATTTAAATTTTTGAGGTGCCCAAGTGGTATTTTTGAAGATTCCTTAGTTTAGGGATTAAAAGGGGTTTTAAACCCCTAAAAAGAATTAGATAAACCAATAAATCATGCTTATTGATTTTTTTCACTTATAACTTGTACTTATAGTTAAATAAAAGATATAGATTTGAATGCAAAAAATTGAGAATAGAAATTTTGTGCATTTACCAAACGCATTTCTATTCTAGAAATAGAAATTTTGTGCAGTTACCAAACGCATTATTTTGCTCAGAAACTCTTCCGGAAAATAGAAATAGAAAAAACTATTTCTGAAAAGAAATTGTTCCCAGAAATAGAAACGTTACCATACGCACCCTTAATTGCCAGGTGGATAGGTGAGGAAACACTAGAGATTGACGAGTCGCCGTTAGAAAGATTTCCGCTGTAAAATTTTTCATTGCCAAATGTTCTTAACACGAAAGGTTTAGATGTATTTATAGGTAAGAGTTATGGCGAGGCATGTGTGTTGATTCAACAGACGGTGTTTTACCGCGTGCCAAGAGGACATGGATCGGGGGCAAGTGGCCCATGTCACGAGCACAATCGTCTTTCGAGCCCACTAAAAAAGTCAGGTTGAGACTAGGTTTTATTTCCCTAACGAGTCCCACTCATAGTCCATTAAGTAAATTATCTTAAGCCGTTCCTAAAAATAGAGGATAACCCAAGATCCCGATATTAATCCGGACTTCACCCCGCTGGTTAAGTTTTCTCTTAAAACCTGACCTTCGTGGTGGTGGTTGTAACCAAAATCCAGACAGAGCACTCCCCGAGACACGTTCTACAAATTTTAGGCAGTAATAACTCATTAACACAGATTGATACAATCAGCTGAGGGATTGTAAATATATTACAAATTAAAAACTCATTATTCAAAACTGAAAAACAAAAAACAAAATCACGTTCCGACCAAAAAAGAGAATTAGGACATTTGATATCATTAATATAAATTGTGTTAGAAGATTCTTCCAAATGAATAAATTCAGAGGTATAACTACTAAGGAGTTTGAATTGGGGAAAACCCCAAGTCAACAACGTTTTGACCATAAAGTGTAATAAGAAGATTAGCCGAAGTCATCAGTTCCAGCAGGATCATCCCTGTTCCTCTTCCAATACTTTAGAGTTCACAGCAACGATAACGATAAAGCGAAGTAACAACCAGCAGAGTACCTCATTTAGAACACACTCTCCACAAGATCTCCTAGAGTTCAATTACCTATTCGATTGAAAGCTCCTGAGTTCATGTCGATCCCTCAAAAGAAGTGGTAATCATTCAAGCGTATGCAGTCCAACGAAGCTGACATTGACATCACATCTCACATGCCAAGAATGAATATTCATATCGCATCATAAAAGGTAAGATACTTCCTACAATTCATTCATATCGGAGTCCGAATCTTTGACACAAAGTAACCAAAATGTGAACTGAAAATAAAGTTCAACACACTCACATTTGATCAACCAGTAGCAGAAAACCCCGCTATAGTCATCCCAAAATTCAGGGAACGATTGCTCAACGAAGCCTCCTTGCTTCTCTCTCGGACTCCAGAAGGGTGAGGACATCTCCTTCCCTCACTGGTCCCTTCACATTCCTCATGATGAACCGGTTCATGTCGTCCAAGAACTTGACTCTCACCTGAGTTACCTGCCCTCTCGACCCAGTTCGACCCATGACTTTGACAACAACAGCATGCTTAATCTGAGAATCCATTCTGCACCAAGGAGACATACTCAGCATAAAGAACACCCTTGCCAGTCACACACGCATATTGAGAAGGGCCAGAGCGAACCACACACATCATTGGAAAAACCCAATTCCAGATCTTTAACAACTGTGTGATACTTCTGCTACGGCTACACATCCTCATGATTAAGCAATTCATTAGCTCGTGAATATATATACTCTTGCTCACATCCATAAGAAGCAACAAACATCAAGAACTGAATGACACCATGTTCAAATTCACCCCGTCGTCCTCTCATCTTACCCAGAAGCAGAAACAGGTGATAAAAGCGATTCCCCACACTTATACAGAGTCAAATCAGAACCCAACTGAAAATCACTTCAAAGTGAGCGAGCGCTAACAGGCGACAGGCTAATTCAGGCAAAAGTCACCGAGAAAAAACATCCGACGAAGCTTCGGCTCGAACGTAACGCGAAGGCGCGTATAAAAACTCGTGAATTTGAACAGAACAATGAGATCGAGAAAGGAAGCGGAAGATGAACCTGAGATCGGATCGGAGCGAGGAGGGAGACGAGAAGAGGAAAGGAAGCGGGGGCCGAAAGCTTGAGTTTCTCGAAATCTTAAGCGCGAATGAGCAAAAACCCTAGCTGATTGTCCAAGATATTGAAAATCGCAAACTTTAGAGGGCGGATTAATACCACGAAAAACTTCAAACTGGTATATTTATGATAAATTTATGATAAATTAATTTTTTGATCACGAAAAAATCAAAACTGATATACCTGTGATAAATTTACTCCGAACTAATTTTTTGACCACAAAAAATTCCAAACTGGTACATTTGTGATAAATTTATCTTCCGTTAGTTTCTATTAAATTGAATTAATAGCATAAAAAATCACAAACTGGTACATTTATGATAAATGGATGGTGAACTGATACTCTCGTTAACTGTCACGGGGTATCTAATTTAGCAATTTGACGATAAAATTTAATGAAAACTAACAGAGAGTTAATTTATTACAGGTGGGCCAAAATAATAAGAGATAGAATCGTCACCTTAATTCAATATTTTCTTTCCCTTTCTAATTCAACTATTTTCACGAAAAGGTTTTTCATAATGAGTGTCTCTGCCGATTCTGGTTCACCAGTTACAATTAATGCCCTTTTAGATCTTCGTTTTATGAAATACTGCTATCTTTATCTCTTTCATAGAGCAAGTAGAGAAGACTGTGAGAGAGGGTTGTCCCTCCCTGCTTTGAGTATCAACAAATAACATCGTGCCTTTCAATTAGCATGCGCCGCGTGTCTTCCAAATTGGGGACACATTGGAGTTAAAAAAAAGCTCATAAAACCGACACAAGAGGTTGTAAATTTTCAAGTTAGTGTCAAAGATGAAATTTATCACATGTCTCGGGTTTCAGATAATGTTTAGTCCGTCCAAAATCGCCCCGCACTCAAAACTAAATGCTACTACAATAATCAATTAGATTGCAGAAAACCAGCAACTTCACTTAAGAAAGTTAAAGGGGGAGAGATCCAGGTCTGATTTCCCCTAGCGAGTCCCGCTCTTTTTAGTCCTCTTAAGTCAAAACTCTCTGAGTCATTCCAATTAAAAGGGATAACCGGAGATCCTAATACTAATCCAGAGTTAACTCTGTAGGTATTGAAAATGGGCCACGTCACGTATAGGCCTTGGCTGTATGAACTTATCCCAGCGTATCCTACAATAAATGTTTGGCCTTAAGCCCTTGTTTGTGTGATTGGAAAGATGTATAACAAATAATAAAAAAAAAATTTCATGCATAAATATTTAGTTGTATTGAGTCAGACGAAAAGACGTGCTCATCATACTCAAGAGATGAAAACAAAACCAACTACTTAGATATATGAAATTACTCAATCCAATGACTTGCTTGAGGAATTCGTTTAGTAGCTCGGGGGTAAGTGTCGCGAGAGTGGTAATTATGATAATTATGGAACAATTTCGAACCGCGGTTCGTAGCAAAAACCGGCAGAGAGCCGTGAAGGGACCTCGGCGGGTCTGTTCCGTGACCCCCATTGTTTCTGGCTCATGTCGAAAATTACCATATCCGAACCTGGCCTGTTGATGATGTATATCAGATCATTCACGCCCCAGCTTTTGAGACCATGACCGGACACTGGAAATCCTAGAAAAAGATCATGAGGCAAGCGAGCAATTTCCTGCCACTCCCCGCCACTCAAGACCCAAATGCCGATCCCCTTCATTGACGCTTGTTCATCGTTCCAGAGACCCCCAACCAAGACCACCCTCTCTTTCATGTTCATCAGAAATTGACATGCGAGAGGGCAAGGAAACGGGACGAAGCTCGCTAACAGGCCATCGGAACATCGTCCGGAGAGGTCATACATCACCAGGCCACAGCTGTTTTCAGGTGAAACACTCGAATAAATTAAGAAATACAGAACCCCTGCACAGATTGCACTCTCGCTATTGCTTGTCCAACCTCTCAGGACCTCTGTTGTGCGAGTCGCCCACATCCTCGTTTCGGAATCGTAGACATGAACCGAAACTTCCCGTCCGAACGGAACGCCAGGGGGATAATTTGTAGTCACGAGCGAGACTCTATAACTTGGTGTTGTCCTACTAACCGAGATCGCAAGGGTGGTGCGATGCACATATTTTACACTAGAGGGGGGCCGTGCAATTTCTCTCCATCTTCTCGTCAGAGGGTTGCAGACATATAACCTGGGGCTACCATCATTACCTGTGCCGAATACAGGGATCAAGCCACTGGAAGACGCAAAGGTGGCGATGGATGTAGAGGATAAGTTGAATCTGGGTAGTTCGAGCTTGTACCAGACGTTGTAGACAGGGTCATAAGCACATGGGCGTTGGCCAAGTAACCTGTCTAGGACGAACCATGGTCTCTGCGATACACCGGGCAACAGTATCTTCCGAAAACTCCCGGAAGTTATAATTCCACGCCACCAAGTACAAACAGCGCCTGCTCTGACAAGGTCTGCGGACGGGAGGCAGGCCAGGATTTGTTCCAATAGGTCGTCAGGCAGGACCCGGTCCATGGAAACTAGAGGAATTTTTGCATTGCATTCATATTCACAGAGAGCTGAGGATACACGAGGCTGCTTGTCGTCTCTCGGCACGTTTTGATCGGCTGATGGCGTCTCTCCATCCATGAGAAATCCTGACAGAAAGTATAAATTTTCTAAGAACAGGTTCGCCAATTCTTTACAAGGTCCAATGGTTAAGAATACAGTCTTTAGTTTGTGTATGGTAACTTAGTCGGAATTGTATGGGAATCGCGATCTTTCTGTTTTTGGGTCAACATAAGAGATGGAATCGTAATCTAATTCAAATATCATACTAACAATAAGATAAGTTATTCTCTACATGTCGGCAAACTTTAAATATTTTCTTTCCCTTTCTAATTCAACCATTATCACGTAGAGCATTCATTTTGTATAGACTCGCCGATCATGCGCATCTCGAACGGTATTTTGCTTAAATTTCCAAAATTAAAAGAATTTCACCAATGCATGCACGATTTGGCTAATGGCATCGTCTCTTTCGTAGAGCAACTAGAGAAGACTATGAGAGAGCATAGTCCCTCCTTGCTTCGAGTATCCATAAACAACGCCGCGCCTTTCAATTAGCATGTGCCGCGACTCTTCCGAGCCAGGACACCCCGGAGTTAAGTTCATAATGCCGACATAAGAGCAACTAGTAATTGAGTTTGCTCGACTTTTTATGGTCTTGAGTTCAAATCTTATCGAAAGCACTCCAGGAGTATATCTTGAACGTACTTGACCAACATGAGAGGTGGAATAGCATAGGTGCATGAGAGGTGGCGCGGATATTGCTGATTGCTATACCCAAAAATTGCCCAATCCAACTATGCAGCTGGATCAGAAAACAAACCACAGATTTCAAGTTTAACAAAGTTTGGCGAAGTGATTAGGAAACAATTTTTTTATAAAAATACGGCACAAATCCTCTATTTTTATCTATTTCCATGGCAACATCCATTAGTCATACTCATTAAACTTTGTAAATAAGAAGGAAAATGATCAGTAAATTTCATGCACTAATAATGTTCTCAAGAAAGTACGATATAATTAAGGTAAAGAGATTCTAGTGGGGTTCAAAGAAGAAATAAACAACTAATGATCTACAAATGGAAATACAACTAGCTACTCAGATACATGGAAATTACTCAATTCAATGACTTGCTTGAGGATATATGCGAGAAATAGGCAAGCGAAGTAGCTTGGGCGTGACATAGACGATCAATCTTGCGTTCCAAACCATACTAAAGAGGGGAAATTCTCTTGGGGAACAAAAATTTCGCCCATGAAAAATTCCCATTTTTTTTGTTAAATATCTTTCATTCAAATGTGATACGATATCGTACTATTAATTGTAAATTCAAAAACATTATAATGCATGAACAAACTTTTACTTAGTTTCTCACGTGGGAGATAAATTAAGTTGGTTTTATTTGAAATGTAGAACAACGAGAACCGGATAGATTATTTCATTATCATATAAGATTAGTGATCGAAAAACTGAAAGAATCAATTAGGTGTTGATTCAACTAATAGGTGAGTTTGCTCCACTTTTTATGATCTCGGGTTCAAGTTTTATTGAGAGCACTCTAAGAGTAAATCTCGAATGTACTTGACAAATATGAGAGGTGGAATAGCATAGGTGCGTGATAGTTGGAGCGGATATTTTTTGATTGCTACACACGAAAATTGCACAATCCAACTAGGCGGCTGGATCATAAAACAAACCATAGATTTCAAGTTTAACAAAGGATTGAGAAGTGATTAGGAAACATTTTTTGATAAAAATACAGTACAAATCCTTTATTCTTTATCTATTTCATGCCAACATCCACTAGTCATACTAATTAAACTTTGTAAATAAAAAGGAAAATGATTAGTAAATTTCATGCACTATATGTTCTCAAGAAAGTACGATAAAAGGTTAGAGAGATTCTAGTGGGGTTCAAAGAAGAAATAAATAACTAATGATCTACAAATGAAAATACAACCAGCTACTCAGCTACCTGGAAATTACTCAATTCAATGACTCGCTTGAGGATATATGCGAGAAATGGGAAAGTGAAGTAGCTTGGGCGCGACACAGACGATCAATCTTGTGTCGCGAGAGAGTAAATTTATGGAACAATTTCTAGCTGCGGTTCAAAGCAAAAACCGGGCCAGCCCTCTGAAGGGAACTTGGCAAAGCTGTTCCGCGACCACTGTTTCTGGTTCATGTCGAAAGTAACAATGTGAGAAGGATCATATCCCCTCAGGAAGTATATCAGATCATTCGAACCATAGCTATCTAACCAAGTATAAGGTCTGAATCCTAGAAAAATTTCATCAGGCATGCGAGCAATCTCGTGCCACTCCCTGCCATTCAAGACCCAAATGCCGACCCCATCACCTTTGTCGATACCCCCGACCAAGACTAGCTTCTCCCTCATGTTCAGCAGACGTCCACCGGCGAGAGGGCAAGAAACCACAACAAAGCTTGCTAACGGGTCGTCGGAACATTGTCCGGAGAGGTCGTACATCACCAGGCCACATCTGATTGCAGGTGAAACATGGTCCCCCGAATAAATTAAGAAATACAGAACCCCATCACAGATTGCACTCTCGTCACCGCTTTTCCAACCTCTCGAGACCTCTGTCATGCAAGTCTTCCACATCCTTGTTTCGGAATCGTAGAGATGAATCCAAAGTTCCGGTCCGACCTGAACTCCAGGGAGATCATTTGTAGTCACGATCGAGATTTTATAACTTAGTGTTGTCCTACTTGCTGAGATCGCGAGGGTGGTGCGATGCACATATTTTACACTTGGGGGGGGCCGTGCAATTTCTCTCCATCTTCTCGTAAGGGGGTTGCCGACACATAACCTGGGGATACCGCATTCATCTACTTCGAATACAGAAATCAAGCCAGTGGAAGATGCAAACTTGACGGATCGATAGTATGATTTGAATCCGGGTCGTTCAAGCTTGTACCAGAGGTTGTAGACCGGGTCGTAAGCATATGCGGGTGGTCTAAGTATCCATGGTCTCTGCGATACACCGTGCAACAGTTTCTTCCGGAAAGTCTCGGAAGTAATAATTCCACGCCACTGAGTACAAACGGCGCCTGCTCTGACGATGTCTGCGAACGGGAGGCGGGCTAGGATTTGTTCGAATAGGTCGTCAGGCAGGACCCTGTCCATGGAAACTGGAGGAACTTTTGCATTGCATTCACTTTCACAGAGAGCTGAGGATACACGAGGCTCCTTGTCGTCTCTCGGCACGTTTTGATCGGCCGACGGCGTCCCTCCCTCCATGAGAAAGCCTGACAGAAAGAATAAATTTTCTAAGAACAGGTTTGCGAGTTCTTTACAGGTCCGATGGTTAAGAATACAGTCTTTGGAGGTCGTTCTCGTTCACACGCAGATAGTTTGTACATGGTAACCTAGTCGGAATCGTATGGGAATCGCAATCTCTTTGTTTTTGGGTCAGCAAAAGAGATAGAATCCTAATCTAATTCAAATGTCATACTAACAATGGATAAGTTATTCTCTATATGTCGGCACACTTTAAATATTTTCTTTTCCTTTCTAATTCAACCATCTTCACAAACAAATCAAGAGCGTTCGGTTTGTATAGATTCAAACATCATGCACATCTCGTTGCTTAAATTTCCAAAATTTAAAAAAATTTCACCATTGCATGCGTGATTGTTGCTATGTAACTAGCAATTAAATTAATACGAAATCACCACAAAAATAAACGAGGAACAATAAAGAACATCGGAGAGAGTTACGTGGTTTAGTCCGAGTATCATTACCTATTCCACGAGGAGAGCCAGTAACAAATAATCCACTAATCAATAAGAGAATTATAGGAGAATTATAAAGTTTCAGTTTCAATTGCTCACGCGCTCGAGGCAAAAGTTTGTGTATTACCTACTCCTATTCACGATAAGAACTAGAGCCCCTATGGGTCGGGTTTGACGTCTTAAACTTGAGACATATTTTCAACAACGATTTTGCTACTACCATTGTCTCTTTCATAGAGCAAGTAGAGAAGGCTGAGAGAGAGCATTGGCCCTCCCTGCTTTGAGTCTCGATAAACAACTCCGCGCCTTTCAATTGGCATGTGCCGTGACTCTTCCAAGACATGGACACGCTGGAATTAAGCTCATAACACCGACACAAGAGCTCAAAAATTTTCAAGTCAGTGTCAGTCATGGGCACCATGAAGTACAAAAAAGAAATTTTTCACATGTCTAAGATTTCAGACGATGCTTAGTCTGTCTAAAATCGCCCCACGCTCAAAACTAAACGCCACTACAACAATCAAGTGAATTGCAGAAAGCCAACAACTTCAGTAAGCCATTAGTATTCAAGCCTTCAAGGAGCTACACAACCACTGCGAATACAAGTTGCATGGACAAAATTATAGATTCGCACGCTTCTTCGCTAGCTTCTTACTTAATCAATCCTAACTTTTCACGGAGAAACAAACTTCAACAGGTTAAATACAAAGACCGAGACTTCGCAATTGATCATCGACATCAATAAAACATACAACACTAAGATCAGCAGGAACAAATTAAAACTACAAAGAGCTTGAAGACATTGAAACACGAGGACCATTACCGCAAGTCGAAGAACCACAAAACTGGAGTGAGATTGTTCCTTCACATGTCCAGTAGTTACGAATACATAATGGAGGTGATTCATAGACAGTTGTCTCTCTATATAGTAACTTATAAGATATTAGCAGAATAACAGACCTTCCTTTTGGGGCCAAAATAAGAGATAGAACCCGTAATCTAATTCCAAAAATCAAATTTCAAATAGATAAAGATATGCACTAACTTTCCCAGCACCTCCTTGACTTGGCATGGTTTCATGGTCTCAGTGAATTGAATAGAGGATATCCAATAGATAAACTGAGAACACCAGGAAAATTCACCTTTCAGCGCGGGCTTCGGGCCACCTGGCCGGGCCCGACCCCATTGCCACCTCTGACTATTTTGAGTTCCTTCACTCATCATACCGAATATGGGCATCGGGCATGTTGATAGCACTTATTAGTAGACCATGCAGGTGTCGGTGAATTAACAGATCCTCATGCAAACACATGACTGTATAGCATTTAGCTGAAACTGAGAGAAACGCCTATGGGTCTACATTAGTTCAGTAACTACACATCTTTGCTGTTATTGCTTAATTCACAAAATGAAAAAAAGATTATCCAAGCGTTAAATGAAATTGCCCTTACAGGCGACGGGTGAATGCTTAATGCAATAATCAAAAGGGTTTATTTGGTCATCCATCGCAAGCCCAGAAAAGGGCGATGGGGAATTCTTCACTAGGGATTAAAGTTTCTACTGAAATTTGTCATGACATCAGAAGCTATAAGTGCCATACCTATACTGTTTCAAAAGTGCTTGCTCGCGTAGATGAATTTTACTCGCAACCGTACCAAAAAGTTTCCATCGGAGAAACGGGAAGAAGTTGGGGGGTATTGCCCCAAGGAGGGCCAACGGCACTTAATTAGGCTCGAGCTCTGCCAAGCCTATATCTCGCGCGACATTGTATTTCATTTTAAATTTTGATCAACATATGTGATTTTAAGAGTCGCCACTAGCCTTTTGGGATTGGCTAGAAACCAAACGAGACACGGGAATTTTGTCTCGTTTTTTACGTAAGCAGAGATTTTCTAAGCTCGGAGACTTGATTACGCTAATGGTCTAATTAACACCCTTTCGATACCTATAATTCAGTGGGATTATTCATTTAAGTGATCGAGCATGTTTTTACCAATTATGATCCTAAAGGTCTTTGAGTCGCTATGTGTTCGTGCAAATGTTCTTCTTGCATGCGGTTTATTATGTTCCTCAGCCTTTCCCTAGCCATACTAAAAAAGAAAGGAACCATCAAGGTATTGCAAGTGCAGGTAATAAACGCTAAAGTATTGAAAACGCCTAAAGTAAAGTACAAGAAATAAAATCCGATACTCGTTGGGCAAAAAATATACATAACTTTATTATTAACCCTTGGGACAACGACCCTCATGAGCTAAGTTCAAATTGAGCTCAACCTCTTACCTAAAAGATCAATCCATTGAGGCTAAATCATATCGAGCATACTCACTAAAATCTCTAAATTAGACGTATTCTAACTAAATAAAATTAAGGTAAGTCTAGTGCTAAAACTTAACTACTTAATAAAAGGCCAATTTCTATGCTATTTTCTCATTTTTTTAATTATATAATCTTTTTAATCTTGAAAAATGGGGACTCGAGCAAGGACCTTGGGCCCGGTCCGAATGTGGGTCAAACTCCAAGCATCGGGCACCTGGGCCACGAAAGCCGTATGGACTATATGTCTAGAGGGGAAAATTATCAAAACATTCCTAAACCTATTACAATTGTGCCAATTCAGTCCTAAACCTTTTGCATTTGTGCCAATTCAGTTCATTCGGCTAATTTTGATTGGTCGATGATGACGTGGACGCCGGCTATTCGGCCAATGCTGACGTGGAAAATTTTTAATATTTTTTTTTTCGAATTTGTTTATTAATTTTATTAAATTTTCCTATTTTTTCTTTTCTTTCTCTTTTTTTTTCCTGCCCTTGGCGAGGCTCGTCCTCACCGTCAACTAGCGAGGTCGGCCTCACCCACCCCTAGCGAGGCTCGAACTCGCAAAGAGTTCAGGGACATATGAAAATGTTTATGAACTATATTGAACATTTTCACATAGTTAAGTAACTACATTAAACATGTACCAAAAGTCCAGAGATCACAATAAACAAATTAAAAGTTTATGGACTACATTGAACAAATTAAAAGTTAAGGGGATCACATTGCATATTGGGTCAAAGTTCGAACTGTTTGTGTCATTATCCCTTGTGAAAATGTTGCTCGTTGCTTGGGATCTCATGAATTTTAAAGTAAAAAACATCATCATTAAATTTTCCTATTTTTTCTTTTCTTTCTCTTTTCCATTTTCAACCTCTAGCTAGTCGCCGGTCTGGGGACTGGCCAGAGGCAGGGGCCGACAAGGTCGGCCTCACCGGCCGTTGGCAAGGGCTCGTCCTCGCCATCGTTGGCGAGGTCAGCCTTGCTAGCCCTTGGCGAGGCTCGTCCTCACCGGCAACTGGCGAGGTCGGCCTCACCCACCCCTAGTGAGGCTTGAACTCGCAAAGAGTTCAGGGACATATGAAAATGTTCATGAATTATATTGAACATTTTCACATAGTTAAGTAACTACATTAAACATGTACCAAAAGTCCAGAGATCACATTAAACAAATTAAAAGTTTATGGACTACATTGAACAAATTAAAAGTTAAGGGGATCACATTGCATATTGGGTCAAAGTTCAGGAACTGTTTGTGTTGTTATCCCTTGTGAAAATGTTGCTCGTTGCTTGGGATCTCATGAATTTTAAAGTAAAGAAACATTATGAGCCAACAAAATATTTACGAATCTCCTATGCGGAAGATAGATTTTTTTTGTTGGCACACAATCTACTACCACATAATCTACTAACAGATATTAGGGGTTAAAAAAAACCGAACATTGGTATTGACTAATTTAAGGACTGCATTGGTAATTTGGGTTATAAACCATGCTAAAGAGGGGAAATTTCCATGGGGAATAAAAATTTTGCACACGAAAAATTCCTATTGTTAACAATATCTTTCATTCGAATACGATGAGATATCATGCTAATAATTGTAAATTCAAAAACATGATAATGCCTGAACAAACTTTTACTTAGTTTCCCACGAGGAAGATAGGTTGGTTTTATTTGAAATATATATAGCACAACAAAAACTGGATAGATTCTTCCATTATCATTCGAGATCAATGATCCAAAAACTGAAAGAACCAACAAGGTGTTGATTTAACTAGTAAGTGAGTTTGCTTGACTTTTTATGGTCTTCAGTTTAAGTTTTATTGAGAGCACTCCAGGAGCAAATCTTAAATGTACTTGACCAATGTGAGAAGTGGAATAGCAGAGGTGAGTGAAAGGTGGCGCGGATACTATCTAATTGCTACACCCAAAAATTGCACAATCCAATTATTTTTCCTTTTTATTTACGAAGTTTAATTAGTATGACTAGTGGATAGAATGAAGAAGCACATGCTGCCATGGAAATATATAAAAAAAAATGAAGAATTTGTGCTGTAATTTTATCAAAAATTGTTTCCTATTTACATATATGTTCTCATGAAAGTACCATAAAAGGTGGAGAGATTCTGGTGGGACTACAAATGCAAATAGAAACAGCTACTCAGATACATGGAAATTACTCGATTCAATGACTTGCTTGAGGATACACGAGAAGTGGGAAAGTGAAGTAGCGTGGGTGTGACATAGACGATCAATCTTGTGTCGCGAGAGAGTAAATTTATGGAACAATGTCTAGCTGCGGTTCAAAGCAAAAACCGACACCGACCTGGAAAAGTAACGGGGCAAAGCTGTTCCGCGACCATTGTTTCTGGTTCTTGTCGAACGTAACAATATGAGGAGAAGGATCACGTTCCCTCAGGAAGTATATCAGATCATTCAGGTCATAGCTATGTAACCAAGGAAAAGATCCCAATCCTAGAACATAATCATCAGGCAAGCGAGCAATCTCATGCCACTCCCTGCCACTCAAGACCCAAATGCCGACTCCCTGAATCGACCTGAACAATGCTCCATCGCCTTTGTAGATACCCCCAACCAAGACTAGCTTCTCCTTCATGTTCATCAGACGTCCATGTGCGCGAGGGCAAGGAACCGGAACAAAGTTTGCTGACAGGCCATTGGAACATCGTTCGGAGAGGTCGCACATCACCAGGCGACAGCTGTTTTCAGGTGAAACATCGCCCGTCGAATGGATTAAGAAATATAGAACCCCATCGCAGATTGCACTCTGGTAACCGCTTGTCCAACCTCTCAAGGCCTCTGTCATGCGAGTCTCCCACATCCTTGTTTCGGAATCATAGAGATGAATCGAAAATTCCTGTCCGGCCAGAACTCCACGGAGATCTTTTGTAGTCACGATCGAGACTATATAACTTAGTGTTGTCCTACTTACCGAGATCGCAAGGTCGGTGTCGTTTATGGATTTCACACTCGGGCCCTGTGCAATTTCTCTCCATCTTCTCGTAAGGGGGTTGCCGACATATAACCTGGGGATACCACATTCATCCACGACGAATACAGAAATCAAGCCAGTGGAAGATGCAAACTTGACGAATCGATAGTATGGTATGAATATGGGTAGTTCGAGCTTGTACCAGACGTTGTAGACAGGGTCGTAACCATATGGGGGTGGTCTAAGTGTCCATGGTCTCTGCGAAACACCGAGCAACAGTTTCTTCTGAAAAGTCTCGGAAGTAATAATTCCACGCCACCGAGAAGGCGAGTACAAACGGCGCCTGCTATGACAACGTCTGCAAACGGGAGGCGGACTAGGATTGTTCCGATAGCTCGTCGGGCAGGACACTTGTCGTCTCTCTGCATTCACTTTCACAGGGAGCTGAGGATACGCGAGGCTTCTTGTCGTCTCTCGGCACATTTTGACCGGCCGATGGCGTCCCTCCCTCCATGAGAAATCCTGTCGGAAAGGATAAGTTTTCGAAGAACAGGTTCGCGAAATCTCTACAGGTCCGATGGTTAAGACTACAGAGTCTTTGGAGGTCGTTCTCCTTCACGCGCAGATAGTTTGTATTTGGTGACTCAGCCCGACTCGTATGGGAATCGCAATCTTTCTGTTTATGGGCCAACATAAGAGATAGAATCGCAATCGAATTCAAAAGAAAGAAGGAAACTTTCCTTTTTTGTGTCATAACCTAAAGATTTCGAACGGCTGCAATAGGAAGTTTATTTCCTGTTTCTTCACGCCCCCCAAAAGAAATGAGGGCAATCATGCAGACTCATCTAATTAACATCGGATCAGGTTCAATGGTTTAAACTCGAGACATATTTTCAACAACGATTTTGTTACTACCAGTGCATCTTTCATAGATCAAGTAGAGAAGACTGAGAGAGAGCATTGGCGCTCCCAGTTTCGAGTGTCGATAAACAACACTGCGCCTTTCAATTGGCATGTGCCGTGACTCTTCCAAGCTAGGGACACGCTGGAATTAAGCTCATAACACCGACATATAGGTCGAAAATTTTCAAGTTAGTGTCGGTCATGGACACCGTGAAGTACAAAGAAATTTTTCACGTCTAAGATTTCAGATGATGCATAGTCCGTCTAAACTCGCCCCACGCTCAAAACTAAATGCTACTACAACAATCAATTAGATTGCAGAAAACTAGCAACTTCACTAAGCCTTTACTTCAAGCCTTCAAGGAACTACAGGGATTGTGACCACAAGTCGTATGGACAAAATTATAGATTCGCTAGCTTCTTACTTAATCAATCCTAACTTTTCACTCGAAAACAAACTTCAGCAGGTTAAACACAAAGGCCGAGACTTCGCAATTGATCGTCGACATCAATAAAACGTACAACACTAAAATCAGCAGGAACGAATTAAAACTACAAAGAGCCTAAAGACATTGAAATACAAGGAGCATTATCGCAGGTCGAAGAACCACAAAACTGGAGTAAGATTGTTCCTTCACATGTCCAGTAGTTACGAACACATGACGGAGGTGATTCATAGACAGTTCTCTCTCTATAGATATAGCAACTCAACCAAAATAATTATAAGATCTTAGAATCACAGACCTTCCTTTTGGGGCCAAAATAGGAGAGAACCCGTAATCTAATTCCAAAAATCAAATTGAAAAAAGATAAGATATTCACTAACTTTCCCAACACCTCCTTAACTTGGCATAGTTTCATGGTCCCAGTGAATTGACTAGGGGATCTCCAATAGGCAAACTGAGAACACCAGGAAAATTCACCTTTCAGCGCGGGCAGCGGGCCGCACGGCCCGACCCAATTGCCACCTCTGACTGCTTTGTGTTCCTTCACCCATCGTACCGAATATGGGCATTGGGCATCTTGATAGCACTTACTGCTAGACTAAGCAGGTGTTGATAAATTAACAGATAACTAATGCAAACACATGACTATATAGCGTTAGCTGCAACTCAGAGAAACGCCTATGGGTCTACATTAGTTCAGTAATTACACATCTTTGTTGTTATTGCTTAATTCACAAAATGGAGAAAAGATTATCTGAGCGTTAAATGAAATTGCCTTTACAGGGGACAGATGAATGCTTAGTGCAATAATCAAGGAAGTTGTATCTGGTCGTCCCTGCGCAAGCCCAGAGAAGGGCGACGGGGGAATTCTTATCCGGTGGTGTTTAGGTGCTGGCAAGGACAAGACCCAAAAAAGGTCCCATAACATAGACTATATCTATAACGAGATATCAACTTGCACACGCATTTTGATGGAATTTCTCCTGTTCCGAACAAGGGATGAAAGAAAATCCCGCATCGACGAGGGAGAGAGAGAGAGAGGCCTAATCGAAAACCCGTTATGATTACGATTCCTGATGGATTGTCAACCTAATTAACTCCGATCCATCACCAAACTAGCAAGAGGTTCAATTTGCCCAGGATTCCACTGGCTTCAACATCACAGGTATGTATGAATGTTGAACATGATTCCGGCTACAAATACAAATGGTGACATTAGAAGAAGGAGCCTGCAAATTGTCAAAGACAGAAAGACAAACTAACCAAACTGATCAACTGATGAATAGGGTAAAATTCTAATAGTTACATATGGTAAAAAAGGGTGCTCAAAGCTCTTTACAAGTTTACACCTTGCACCCACCACTCATTCATACGCAGATTCAAAAAGTAAAAGAAAACTTTTCACCGCTTCTCCAAATGCAGAGGCCTGCGCAGCTGCTGACAGTAAAACCCATTTGACCAGGAAGTCAACGCATCGTCATAGCGCGGTCCTCGCTTTGACCAATCCGGTCAACAGAATGGACGGCATCGGCGGCGTCGTCCTCAGCTATCTCTGAAGCGGGAGCCCGCACAAGAACCCCCCGCCGCAGGAGTAACGCCTCAGGCCCTTCCCCGCCAGTTCCCTCATCGCGTTCCACTCCTTGAGCACCGTCGACGCCGTCGACGAGGACGACGTCGTCGAGTCGCCGCCGTCCGAGACGTCCCCCGCCGAGTCGTGCCACCACTTCTCGCAGGGCTCGCCGCCCGAGGCCTCCCGACGGTCCTCCTCCTCCGCCGCGCTCAACCTCTTCTTCTTCTTCTTCTCACTCCGGCGGTCGCCTCGTCTCTGCGGTTCCCCGGCCGACTGCCCCATCAGATCGCGGTAGCCGATCGCGGACGCTCCTTTCAGGGCCGTGAAGTCGGAGCCGTTGGTCAGCATTATCCCGATATTGAGCACCCCATGGATCCTGCGCGAACAAAGAAGTCGGATCGATTTCGCCGGGGAAGACTCGCTAAAGAAAAGGAGGAAACTCGACAGCACTCACATGCCGGAAGGGCGGCGAATGCCGACGGCGGTGAAATAGGGGAGCCTGCTGTTGGCCACGAAGTCGGGCCAAGAGAGGACGGTGCTGAGGAGCAGCCGGACGGAGCCGACGAGGTAGTCGCGGATGTAGCCGACGGCGTAGATCTCGACGGTGACGGCGGAGGTGTCGCTGGAGAGGAAGCCCGGGGCGACCCGGAAGAAGAACTTGTCGTTCCAGGTGGGGTTGTCGGAGCCGACCCGGTCGAGGCGGGTGCGGAGCTTGGTGGCGGGGTCGACCCAGGCGAGGGAGTAGGTCTCGGTGCGGCGCATGTTGGCCGGAGGGGGCTTCACGTTCTGGGCCGAGATCAGGTGGAGTTCAAGAACCGCGCTCTCGCCAATTCGACCCCTCTCCATCTCTCTCTCTCTCTCTCTCTCTCTCTGGAATCTTGTGGGTTCTTCAGGAGCTTCTCTTTTACTGGATCTTGTAATGGTTCAGTGCGGTTGTGGGGGTGCGGGGGATAGAGAGAGAGAGAGAGAGAGAGAGAGAGAGAGAGAGAGTCGGCCAAGAAGATGGCGGCGAGAACCGCCGGCGAGGGGAGAGAGATCGAGAGAAGAAGAAGGAAGGAAGGAAGTGAAAGGAGACGGTTGAGCTTTGTGGGTGCCAATAATGTTAACGGTTTCTCTTTCGCGGTTCAGGTCAGGTGGTTGTCCATACTGGCGCACAGGGAGAGGTAAGTTATAAGAATTGGTAGAAACTGGCTAGGAATTGGGCTAGTGATGGAGAATCAACAAAAGCCTCTGTTAAAAGGGACATTCGAGAATCGGCCTCCCTCGTCGAAATTCACATCTTATGGTTGAAAATATGTCCCGAGTTTAAGCCCAAAAAGGAAAGTTTCCTAATTTGTTTTCTTGTTCGATCGCTTGCTTTTGCAACACTTACAAACACAGTTGGTCTCTAATTTAGCTCCCTAGTGTTTGATCATCGTTGCACATCCATTTGATGATTAAAGGGTTATTTTCATAAAGTTGTATAACCTGGTTAAGTTGCTGGTTTGCAAGTCCCCCGCCCACCATAATAATCAGCCACTGGGCACCGTGGTAATCTTCATATGCTAACGTGATACAGGATCGTGCAGACCTTTCTCGGATGACGCGAGAAATCGTTAACTCAGTGCAATCACTTCAGCTGCTCCAGTCCCAAAAATATTTCAAGTGTTGATGGAGTCAGCATGTGTACCACCAGTTTGTTTAACCTTGACCAGGGGAATTTTGCCAATTGGAGGAGTTAACAGGACGTCAAAATAGCCTATAAACACCAAAATTGACAAAGACCAAGCAGCAAGATGTAACGCCTCGCAGTAATCACGATTAACGCATCGGATCCCCCGACCAAATTCATGTAATGCTACTGTTTCTTTGTTCGAATTTTTTGGTACTTTGGAAAAGAATGCAAACCCACCTTCTTGCAACACAATTCGGGAGGTGTTATGCGTAATCTGCACAAAAGTGACCGCACTTCAAATTGATTGAAATGCCGACCAAAAAAAAAAATTGATTGAATTGCATCGTGACAATCGTTAATTGATTTAATGTACGGCTATCGGCATACCACTTTAAGAAGAAGATGGCTTAAACTAAAACAGATCCATTTACCAATAGATTAGGAGAGGAAGCTACAAAATTTGAGAGAACTTGACATGCAAAAATCAGATGCTAATCCTACATCCCAGGGTCTAGAGCTCAGCACTGAAAAGTTCCTTGAGAAGACCCAGTTGCACTGGCACCGAGGCCAACAGTGAGCAGGAACAATATCTGGTACCGCATTTTCAGTGAACTTAAGTTGGTGGAACCAAGTCTTCTCCACAACGCCATGATGCCATCCTCAAAATCTTGGAGCTGCACCACAAGTATTAACATGCCTCAGTTGCCAAACTATTAAACAAATATACAAAAGAACAGAAGTGGGGACGATGAAATGTGCCGTTTAAGCTTTGGATTGAAGTGCTGAACCTACCTCCACCAATTGTTGCTTCAGGCAATCTCTCAATTGAATACTTGTGCTGTGTAATGAACATGATTGGCACACCAGGGACCTGCCAAGTACAGCATGGTATCAGAAACTATTTCCCCAGCATATATTCTTATGATGGACAGCCAAACAATTTTCAAGTTATTATACCTTACGGATCCTTCGCTTTAGATCTCGATCACATGTGGCAACGATGTAGCATTTGTGCTGTTCAATTCATAAATATATGTTAGTCTTGAAAGAAAAGAGAAAGATACCCAGAAATCTGCCGGAGCAAAGGTTACAAAAACAACGATATCCATCCTCAAAATCCATTATAAGGCAATTCTTAAACCAATGAGCTCAAACTAAGACCAGGATCATTCAATGGAATAAAAATCTGGCGGTTCACCATAGAACAGAGTTCTACATTCTATGACAATGCAAAAACAGAAAGATTATCATGTCACAGTCAATCGAACAAATCATCAACCTATTCACAAGCCGGGACCAAATAAATAGTGATTAGAAGAGAAATATTCCAATGACGTCGAGAAGCTTGAGAGGGACTACAGAGTAAATTTCATATGTACAGCATCATCGTCCCACACTGGTGAAGCTAAGCTAAGGGCTAAGCTTTTCATTCTACATGTCCCAACGAACAGCTAATCTTCAACCTCAATGCATTCCTTTAGCATCGGTTTCCGCAAAAATACCAATCGGCAGACAATATGCTATTATGTTCCAAGTAAACATAGTTGTTAGTATCGGGGTCTTGAAGTTTATCCATCACAGCAAGCAAATTCACAAAATCTAAGCAGAGCTCGACATTAAAGGAAGATCTTACGACTCCTACTTTGATCTAATGCAATCTAAAACTTATCTGAAGTTCACATTCTAAATACAATTTCAAACAGGGCTGCTGATCTCAGGAACAGAAAAGAGAGAATGCCGACTAATTTAAAAAATCTTGATGCGAACACACCTGAGTAACTCTCTCAACAAGGCAATCATCAGCATAGGTCCCTTTGTGAGTACATGGCAATCTTTCAAACCGAGGATCTTTTGCTATCCTGTAAATAAAGGGCGTGCAACAAAACCTCAGATCAGCAGTCGTAGTAAAGGTGAAGGAAAAAAAGACATTGAGGTAAAGCTTACGAAAGCAAAGAGAGAAAACAACTCAGAAATAACAAAAAGAAAGAACCAAAACAAACCTCAAAGCAACACGGTATTTCTGGCCCAGCTTCTCAAGCTCTGCCATCACGCAATCCGTGATGCAAGGAGTACCTTTGAAGTCGAATGACAGGGAAATCAATATAAGACCATAGAATAGAAGGGGAGCACGGCAACACAGAATCTAATGAAACGACGAGCAAAAAAAGAAAATTGGCACTGAAATTAGAATATGAGTAGAAGAACAATAGGACTCACATTTCGCATATAAGCAGTCCATCATTCCCTTCTCCAGATCCAGCTGACAGAGAATAAAGAACTCATGTTGGTTGCCATTCAAAATGAATAAAGAAAGCAGGAACACAGTTAATTCATCTCGTATGAATCCCAAAAGAAAAAAGGCAGGAAAACGGCACTGCACATGAACTGCAACTAAACCATATAGCTTTTCATCACAAGGGTTGATTAATTGAATTGGATCCAATCAATGTAACAGCACTGGCACAAATAGCAAGTGCTGAGGCCTAAATTCCTAAACCGCCTAGAAACTCCTCCCTCCCATTAAAAAAAAAATCATCCAAAGAGAAAGAAAATCATGCAAGTGCAACATCAATGCCCAAACAAAGGAAAGAATTAGGCAGACAAGAAGTAGTCTCACTTTATTCTGAATGGAGAAATTGATGAAGTTGGTATCCACCAAAACCCGGTAAGGCGGCCCCAAGGCGGTGTTGTGCTTGAAGAACAGCGCAGAGGAAACATTTGGCCTGAAGGTAATATCAATCAAACATGGTTCATGTTTAATCAAATCAATTACCAAAACAAAAGGCATAAGGAATCAGCTTTACACGTTTCTGGGGAGCTTGTCCTTGGAAAGGTCCTTCTTGTTAGGGTTTAGGACCTCTTGTTTGTAACTGAACCACACACACAAACAACAGCAACCCAATTTCGTTAACCCCCATAATCACACAAAGCGAACGGGAGAGCAAAAGAAAGAGAGCAAAAAAGGAAAAAGAGAAACTACTTTTTGATGGCTTTGGAGGTGATGATTTTCTTCATGGCTGCGAATTTAGGGCCTTTCTTGGCTCTCCCCATCTCTTCTTCGCCTCAAAACCCTTCTCGCGGCCTGCGTGTTATGAGTCGACGCCGACGCTGGCACAAGATTCAGCGGAATTGCTCCTCCTTCTGCTTCTGGAGAGGACAAATTGTGCGCTCCTATACCTACGCTCGCTCGGTCTCTGTGCGGGCGTTAGTCTCCCAGAGAGAGAGAGAGAGAGAGAGAGAGAGAGAGTGGCGGTGGGAAGCAAGGCGGCGGAGGAAACCGAACCAGTGAGGTTGCACCACCTTAGTCAGTGGCGGGGTGGGCGGCGTTGAGCTCAAAGGAGAGGGCTTTGCTACGTACTATCTGAACTCGAAGATCTAAGCCCAATGCCTTTTGGCCCAGCTGAGTAAATTAGATTCAATCAGTTATTAGATTCAAAAACTAAAAGTATATAAAGAGAAAACAAATTAGTCAATTACGTAAATTGAATTTGGCATATATCCCAGTCCAATTTGAAATGGAATGAAAATCCAAAGTTATGCTATGCGTCGGAAATCTTGAATAAGCCGGTCCTCTCTTTGAGGCACTTAACTTTACTTTTATGATTGGCACGTGGCAAGCCACGTGGTATAATTGTGTACACATGGCCCATATTTGATCAACCGACATTAATTTAGTGATTTTTCAGCGAAATTGCTGTTTCTTGGAGACTAAATGTTTTCAAGAACGGGATGAAGGCCAACAAATCATGTTAGGAGAGAACAAATAAGTGGAGGATTTTGACAAGTCGTGGTAAAAGAGATTCTACTTCATTTATTGAAACTAATACAATTTGATATCAAATTTCTTATCTAATTTCAAATCGTGTACAAACACGTATCGTGATATGTTAACATACATATGCTCACGTGAAGTGCGGGACATGTAAATAGTTTAATATAATGCCTCCCCATCCCTCCAAAAGCAACACACGACACGGCGTTACCTGGCGCGGCCGCACGGGTACTTCAGTGCTCACATCATTTCAAGAGCTATACAAAACAGCGGGTCGGGGTAAGGTTGAATTTACTTTTAACGTTTGTCATCAGCGTTGGGTTATACCGACCTAAATGAATGTGATCTAGGAGGCATCGCATCAACCTAATAGAGTTTGAAGTTAAAAACAAGAGAGCTCCAAGTAGACCAAAAGGACTTGATCAAGAGAGAGAGAGAGAGAGAGAGAGAGAGAGAGAGAGAGAGAGAGAGAGAATGGAATTTAAGCTGGCGAGACATACAGGAAGATACTCTCCTACTTGTCATTTATAATGAGGTCGAAATGAAATGTTAATGGTGGGTACAGCAGAAGATTCTTCATTCACGAAGCAATAGATCAGATCCCTCGAGAGGATGTTACAACTCAAACAGTTTTGCTTGTTTGTACATATCTATCACTACGACACGCTATGATCAGAAAAGAATGGCTATGAGTACATCTAACCCAATTAGGCACATCAGGTACCAGAAGGATGCGGGATTTACAGCCCAAAAAAAGAACGAAGTAAGAAAAAGAACCTCGCATGCAAAATTCAGATCGATGCATCCTTCTGGGGAGAAAAAAATATCAACAAATCAAGGGCATATACCTAATAAAAGAATTTTCGCTATAAACCTGGTTTGATCGACTTGATCATAGAGACTTCTTGACAACCATTGTCGAGTTTGAAGTTTCTGTTTCCTCAGGTGGAGGCTTCACATACTTCCCTATCACTTTTTGATGCTGCCGCTTCTTCATCCTGCCGAGCTTTTCCTTACTCAGTTGCCTTCTCTTCTCTTTCTGCCGATGTCTTTGGTTCCTCTCTCTTTCATATACACCCTGCCACAAGACTTCCCCTGTCAAAGGCCACAACCACCTTCTCGTGGGTTTGTCGGAATCGTATTCCTCGGCGTAGTCTTCATCCATACTCTTCAGTGTGTCGTATGAGAACCATTTTACCCACATTTGCCCTCTTCGGTCCTGCAACCTGTGCTGTTCCTGCATGACACCGGTCTCTGGATCCAGGTATACCATTCTCCTGGCACTGTGGTACGCCCAAACGTTCACAAGTAGCTCCAGCACTCTCGAATAGCAATGCTTGTCCTGCAAGAGATGCATCCATGACATGGTTCCTCTTACTGTACCATCAAAGTGAAACTAGCCAGATGCTTTAGAACATACAGACACTGTGTTCTAATTTTCCCAAACTTATACAAACTACAGATTGTGTATACTTCCAGTGATTCATCCATCTCAAATTCATGAAGTTTATTTGTGCATCATTGGCAGGACTCCATTTTCAAAAGATTTGTGGCAGCCCAATTATGCAATAATAGGATCCTGATATTGAAACGGCGGTTTTTGGAGCCAGGATGTGCTTAAAAATGGAGGCTGAGTTGATAAGACCAATCATAGCCTCCAGCATGTAGCATGATAAGTTATAAGCATGGCATTAGAGTTTACTCAATGAAAGCCCTAATTGAAGATTTAAATGGCAAATTCCAAGAGAAGCAATTTACTTTGGACAAACTCAGATAACAGCATCCTGTCCGATGATGCTCATCATACATCTGTTCATCCATTGCGTCAACAAACATCCTGCGCAAGGAACGATTCACTCTACTTTAGCACATGCTTACTACAAACAACGCTGTTGACTGGGCCTTGATTAATTAGCCTATGACCGTACCTCGAGAACATCACAAATTCCAGGAAAGACCTAGTTGGCAATGCCCAGCTCTTCATGACGGACCATGTATCACCATCTACAGGCATAGGGGGTAAAGCATCCAAATCATGTTTTAAGCCATACATCCTCTTAAGAGCCACAGAGAAGGCATACCTTCAATAATCCACCCAGTTAAGAAAATCAGCAACAGAGAGAGAGACAAAAACAGAGACCACAATAAACACCAAGTGATGTTTTAAGACTAACTTGCAGTTTCCAGCATTAATCGAGTCACAGAAGGACCAAAAGTCCTGCTGCAATGGATTTCTTGGGTCCTGGTCCATCCGCACCCAAAAGTAAAATGTGTCCCCATGCTTACGTGTGTGGATAGCATCCAACAATGCTCTTTCAGCAACACCAGACAGGGATGCCTGTTTAAACCCCATGTTAAAATGCATCTGAACAGGCAAATGCATTATCTGAAGTCACACCCTTTTCCGAACATAGATTCAACAAAATCAGTCTGAAAAGTGGAAGTACGAATGCATCTGGAGGTTAATATGTTTCGCCTATTTCTGTCTTTTCTTAGACAGCTGGAATGAGGTCTCTTTAACCAAAGGCCATGGAAATCAAATTTAGGCTCTTTAAACCCAACGAATAGCCAATTATCACCCAAGGAATATTTTTACACCCAATTTTCCTACTTTCACTTTTGAATTTACAGACATAGGAGACATGGGTCAGACCTGCTTGACCTTGTCTAAAAGCAAGTAAACTTCTCTTCATGGACCTTTACTCATCATATTCAAGCATAGACACAGCATTTCATGCAATTGGCATTACTAAGTTAGCTAGAACTTTGTCCACTATATGTCTTGACTGGCTGATGTTTGCCATCTAATAATACTTTAAATTTTTAATAATTTTGACAATTACCAAACAACAGTCTCTTGAAGTTCTAGGCATTGACTCGACACAGTGATGCAGTAAGGTCAGAGATTTGTGTTGAATGCCACTACAACTGGCTATTTTCACACAGAGAGCTACAGATAACCACTTATCAAGATTGTATTAGAGTTTTCAGGTGTAGAATGGAGCTCAAATATATACCTTCCTCGCTGTTGCCCTCCAACATTGGAAGCCTATCCAAGCATTCTTGTGTAAGCGATCAATTCTGTTTGCAATTGCGAAATAGGCCCCAAAGTCACCCAACGCATCTCGGTAATATGGATTATTAAGAAGTGGAAGCCGAGAAGGTGCATCAATATCACCAGCTCCAGGTCTTCGACCTTTGGTTGACTGCAATCACCAGGTAAAGCATCAAATTCAAGGAATTCAGTACTTCACGCTTATGCTCAAAATTAAAATACTATTGGCATGCTTAATATGGATTATTAAGAAGTGGAAGCCGAGAAGGTGCATCAATATCACCAGCTCCAGGTCTTCGACCTTTGGTTGATTGCAATCACCAGGTAAAGCATCAAATTCAAGGAATCCGGTACTTCACGCTTATGCTCAAAATTAAAATACTATTGGCATGCAACAACAACACCTTGACCAGGGTGTTTTGGTGTTCCGAAAATTCTAAGCTCTAGATAATGTAAATGGAGCTCTCTCCCCTATGGTTCATATGATTTGCAATTTCTAGAAGCCTCAACACCAATTACTTTTTACAGCTAAAGTTCTTCCTCAGCAAAAAACAGATCAAAAGATAAACCAAAGATTAGAACCATACACATATAAACTGAAATCTGATCAAATAATCTCAGTGAACCACAGTAGTTCAAAAACACCGGACAAATGGACTAGCACTGCAATCATCTTCTTACAGCATACCTTTAGGATGTAAAGTATGTCTTTCCCTTCGGATATGTGCTAACATGAAAACATCAAAAAGCTGTTTTCAGCTCATAACTTCAGTTTGGAAAGTGTGCCTTGTTTTCCTGAAACCATTTTTAAAGTGTTCGGAAGCGCATTGTTTCAAATATTTTCATTCCCACATGGAAATTAAAACGGAAATTTTTCAAGAATTCCCAGGAACCAAATGGGGCTCATAGTCAGCCAACATGAGAAGAAACTGATTAAGTTTAACCATAAACTCTGATATGAGTACATGATAATATAAGAATTTTAACATACATAAGGCATCTCACCAGTCCAATCCCACGATAGATTGAAGAAACATGCAGAAAGGGCCAGACTCCTTCTCCCAAGTAAGGTTCATAGATACCAAGGGGCTGACCAGTTCTTTCAAGCTCCCGTTCATCCCTTTCATGCAGATCATTTTTTAACCTATCAGCCTTTTTGGCACTCTTATATACTTCTTCCCATGTTCCATGAGGTTGATCACTTCTATCTTTTAGCTGCATCGAATTATAAGCAACAAATGAACTTTGACAAGAAAGTGAGAATTGAACACATCAAACTGTTTAATATTATTACCTCCTGCTCCTCCCTTCTCTTTCTAGTAGCAGCCACCTCTATATACTTTTCTTCCTCCCATATGCTATATGAAAATGTATCATCAACAGCTTTAATTGGGCTGGAACTCTCCTTTTGAGTATGGTTCCATCGCTCCTCAACCTTGTCCAG